ATGATCACAGCCATACCTGTCAACACAACCATACCTGTCAACACAACCATACCTGTCAACACAACCATACCTGTCAACACAACCATACCTGTCAACACAACCATACCTGTCAACACAACCATACCTGTCAACACAACCATACCTGTCAACACAACCATACCTGTCAACACAAGCATACCTGTCAGCACAACCATACCTGTCAACACAACCATACCTGTCAACACAACCATACCTGTCAACACAACCATACCTGTCAACACAACCATACCTGTCAACACAACCATACCTGTCAACACAACCATACCTGTCAACACAACCATACCCGTCAACACAATCATACCCGTCAACACAACCATACCTGTCAACACAACCATACCTGTCAACACAACCATACCTGTCAACACAACCATACCTGTCAACACAACCATACCTGTCAACACAACCATACCTGTCAACACAAGCATACCTGTCAACACAAGCATACCTGTCAACACAAGCATACCTGTCAACACAACCATACCTGTCAACACAACCATACCTGTCAACACAACCATACCTGTCAACACAACCATACCTGTCAACACAACCATACCTGTCAACACAACCATACCTGTCAACACAACCATACCTGTCAACACAACCATACCTGTCAACACAACCATACCTGTCAACACAACCATACCTGTCAACACAACCATACCTGTCAACACAACCATAACTGTCAACACAACCATAACTGTCAACACAACCATACCTGTCAACACAACCATACCTGTCAACACAACCATACCTGTCAACACAACCATACCTGTCAACACAACCATACCTGTCAACACAACCATACCTGTCAACACAACCATACCTGTCAACACAACCATACCTGTCAACACAACCATACCTGTCAACACAACCATACCTGTCAACACAAGCATACCTGTCAACACAAGCATACCTGTCAACACAACCATACCTGTCAACACAAGCATACCTGTCAACACAACCATACCTGTCAACACAACCATACCTGTCAACACAACCATACCTGTCAACACAACCATACCTGTCAACACAACCATACCTGTCAACACAACCATACCTGTCAACACAACCATACCTGTCAACACAACCATACCTGTCAACACAACCATACCTGTCAACACAACCATACCTGTCAACACAACCATACCTGTCAACACAACCATACCTGTCAACACCATCTGCATTAACAAGATCAAAATCAACCACAATAAGCAACAACAGGAGCAACAACAGAAGCAACAACAGAAGCAACAACAGAAGCAACAACAGGAGCAACAACAGAAGCAACAACAGAAGCAACAACAGAAGCAACAACAGAAGCAACAACAGAAGCAACAACAGAAGCAACAACAGGAGCAACAACAGGAGCAACAACAGAAGCAACAACAGGAGCAACAACAGAAGCAACAACAGAAGCAACAACAGAAGCAACAACAGAAGCAACAACAGAAGCAACAACAGAAGCAACAACAGAAGCAACAACAGGAGCAACAACAGAAGCAACAACAGAAGCAACAACAGAAGCAACAACAGAAGCAACAACAGAAGCAACAACAGGAGCAACAACAGCAAACAGACTCGGTCCAATATCATTGAAAATGACTCACAATACAATGTTTTCATTCATTCCAATATTTAACAAATTAATTTCCATTGTGTTTTAATTATTTTTGTATGATGGTTCTTGAATATTCATGTGTGGGCCCAACCTGGCCGGGCGTTCCATAGTGATTCTCATGTTACTTGTACTAGTTCATTGTTCTACGTTCTTTTCTTACCCTTTGTTATTTGTACTCTTTAAATGATTCCACGAATACAGACTTTTTTTATTAATTATTAGTATGTAATAAATGTGTGTGTAACTAATAATGAATTAAACCGCACTAGACGGGGGACCTACGGTATTGTATATTGGGTAGATTGTATTTAAATGAAGTCTATGAAGTAGCCTCCTAAACGAAGTCTATGAAGTAGCCTCCTAAACGAAGTCTATGAAGTAGCCTCCTAAACGAAGTCTATGATGTAGCCTCTTAAACGAAGTCTATGAAGTAGCCTCCTAAACGAAGTCTATGATGTAGCCTCCTAAACGAAGTCTATGAAGTAGCCTCCTAAACGAAGTCTATGATGTAGCCTCCTAAACGAAGTCTATGATGTAGCCTCCTAAACGAAGTCTATGATGTAGCCTCCTAAACGAAGTCTATGAAGTAGCCTCCTAAACGAAGTCTATGAAGTAGCCTCCTAAACGAAGTCTATGATGTAGCCTCCTAAACGAAGTCTATGAAGTAGCCTCCTAAACGAAGTCTATGAAGTAGCCTCTTAAACGAAGTCTATGAAGTAGCCTCCTAAACGAAGTCTATGAAGTAGCCTCCTAAACGAAGTCTATGATGTAGCCTCTTAAACGAAGTCTATGAAGTAGCCTCCTAAACGAAGTCTATGAAGTAGCCTCCTAAACGAAGTCTAT